TTATTCAAAATTCAAGTTGTAAAATGCCATTAGGTTAGACTTGCAATATAAGACCAGCCCTCGAGTTGGATAAAGCTTCAGAGACCATACTTCTGATAGCTCTAAACCCAGCAAACTCAAAATTAACAATAGAAAAAAGCATGCAAATATGGCCTGGTCAGAAATACATACCCTGTCTGCACATGCAAACTATCTGTTTCAGATGCTTTGAATTCACTAGCATTACCACTAAAAGAAATCAAAAATAAAATACTAAAGAAAAAACACCAACACTTTTTTTCTCCCCCTTCTTCCAGATCAGTCCTTGTGGCTAGACAGGCACACAGACTTAATTAAAATTGCACAAAGAGGCTGAAGAGCAGTAAAATACTGTATTCACAAATCTGAATTTAGTTTGTTGGCAGAACTCTAAAACATTACATTATTTATGAACTGTATGCAGTTACATGTATGCATATTTTATAGATTTAATATAATGGATCCAATCGTTTGGAGGGATTGTAAGAACTCAGATTAAAGCAAGATGTCACATATCATATTAGATATAAAGCCAAAATTTAATGAGACAAGTAAAGGTCAGAGTAGCAGCATGTTGCAATTTCAGCTAGATACCCCCACTTCTCCCTGTTCATGAGCATGCATCGGTAACTTCAACTTTAAAAACAAGTAAAACAATACATCTCTATGAAAAGATAATTCAAACGCCAAAATCACCAAGCTGGAAAGTTAATTTCTAAAATAGAAACTAATGTTTAAATTATAGCAGTTCAGTTTCTCATCCTCTCTACTCATTTACCAATGCATCATTAAGCAATTCTCAGCAATTAATGTCTGATAAATTAAAGTCTGATCCAGCAAAGTTGGAAATTATTGCAACTCCTTAACCTGTGGATTAAGCTCTTCAGTAGCTAAGTTCCTTAAACAAGACAGACATAAAGGGCAAAGATAAAGAGAAAATCTTAAAATTAAAATATTTAGAAATAAAATGGAAAATGAGTCCTTCATGCACCAAAAAAAAAAAAAAATCACATATTTATAAATCAGGACATCTTTAGAAGAAAACCCTCTAGTGTTAACCTTCGTACCCTCTGCCCATTCTTTTTGGCCTGCCTCTCTCTCGACCAATTTTTTTTCACTTAATACTAAAGTCTAAGAGGAAAAGACATTTACCTCAACTAGGCTTTTCCTTAAGGCCTTAAGGCCCAGTGTGTTCTGGTTACTCATCTTTTCTTTTCCAGCATAAGTTGTTTTCACCCAAGAAAAATGAAAGTGCAAAACGAAAAGCAGATTAGTAAATACGTAACAAGGACGGACCGTGAGACACACAGCATCAGAGCAAAATTGTGATTTTCAAACTGCTTTTCTTCTTCAGGTAATACCCTTTTTGTCCTTCCAGAAGAGTAATTTCCCGTTTTTTGGTACAAATTATTTCATCCCCTTAAACCCCCTTCCACACAGACTCTTTTCTGTCTCTGTCTTCCTCACTTCTTTCTGTCAGTATTTCTCTCATCATATGAATTAATATTTCCAAGACATAATTCGCTGTTAGCTTAAGCTCATTAAAGACAGACTAAACTGCAATCTCACTTCTTTTATCTTCTCCTTCTAACGCGTGTTCCTGTCATTTCTAGAATACATCAGTCACTTTTGTCCCCTCCTCCTTCCCAACATGAAGTAGGTCGAGCCAAAATCATTTCAACTTTCTCACTCTTTTCAAGATCAGCATATGCTCAGGAGACTTGAGCATAAACATCCTAGTCTCACTGGCTTTAGTCAGTACTCTTCATTGCTTCTATACTGCTCTTGGTAGTTCCCTTCACCTTCCTCAGACTTTAAAAAATAATTACAGTTCTTTAAATACAGTTATGAAAAACAATAAAGCATGTTATTTTAGAGTTACTGATGCTTTATCACTTAGAACCTTCTATCCTCTTAATTTCCAACTCAACGGTGTTCTGGAATTCTCATAGGTCCCACATAATAGGGGCTTTGGACTCAGCTTGGTGATTGCCACCCTGCCTGCAGGCACAGCTCCCCTCTGCAGCGTGCCGTGCTCTCACTTCTATTCGACTGCAAGACAAAAACGTCAAGATTCTCTCTAGTACCTTGCCTGTCAAAGTTTTACTTCAAAGGCTGTATTTCAGATCTTTCTTTTCCATTAACACTGCTAAAAAAAATCTAAATAATTCTGGTTTTCACAACCTGACAGTGCTTCTAGTTAATACTTTGTACCCTAAACTCTTCATTTCCGCTACAGTTGATGCTGTTTTAAACTTTTACATCCAAAATACATGACTTAAGTTTCATTTTCTCCTCTTTTCTTTCAACTCACAGCTTTTTCCTATTGCTTTCTCAATTTTCTCCTGCATGATAAATAAAATATTTCTAAGCCTTTTCATTCATCTTAAATTTTTTTTTTTACAAGTTGACTTATCTGTTTATAAGAGTGGAGATATAGTCTTTGCTGAGTACATCTCACCACCTTTACAAACAGAACAGAAAAACATTGAAAGAAATACCTGAAATACACAAGAACATTTGACAGGGCTAAGAATCACCATATACCATCCAAGCATGCTTATGAGTTTCATTTTTCCATTTTTAAGGGAGAAAATACTCTAAATTCCACCGCCCCTTCTGCCTTTGCATATTTGTGTTTCAGCATAGTGTTACTCTTCTGACCCACAAGGATACAGATGATTTGAAACATAATTCAATGATCCTATTTATCAACTGCCTTTTTTTTTTTTTATTCTAATCATCTTATTAATTGGTCTCTAATTTTCCTACAACACATCTTAATAAAATGCTCTTTCCACTCAAAAAATGACTTTTGAGGAAGCAGTTGCCAGCCTTCGGAGGCTTCATTTCATTGTTCATCTGCAACCATTCTACTTGAACAGTTGAATTTCATTACACTCAATATCCAAAGGATGCCTCTACTCTCAAGAATTTTCAAACTCTCAAAAATACCTGGAACAATCTGAGTGGATACCTCTCACAGCTGTTGGCATATTATTCTAAGCCCTTTTGAACAATCTTAGAACAATATTGTTGAAATTATTCTTTCAGAATTTCTAGTTTTTAATGTGTAAATTTCAACTTCCCCCCCCATCCTCCGTTTTTTCTTCTTTGCTAAAACTTACAGACTAAAGAATTTACTTATTTGAAGATTTACAGAATTTCCTTTTCTTTTTCTCTCACGTCTCTCTTCTAAAGTGTCTTATTGATATTATGTTATTCATAGAAAACTGTTTGGAGTTTCAGTCCTAACTGAAACAAAACCTCAGCAATTGCAACCTTTCTGGAGACAAATTCAATTCGGGCTGTCAGCTAGAGCTGAATAAGGCTCCCAGCTCAGAGCCAAAGCAAATGAAAAAGTTTAAAATCATATCGGCATAAGAAAGAAGCATTGATATAGAAGATCCTGTGTTTCATTGCTTCAAACTTCCTCCCTGCCATTTACTCATAGGTATGCCCCGTGCACTTGATGGACTTATTATTTACCAACACCTTGACCACTAAATTAAAAGACTTACAACTATTCGAAATAAATTGGCTAATAAACTGCTTGAGACTATAGGGGTAATTTCAAGAAGAGATGGAGATAAAATCCTAGGCTCTTTGAAGAGTCCCAAGTTTAGCAGCTCATGTAGATTACCAAATGCCCTTGCTTCTGTACCTCTGAAATCTAGAGTCAGAAATTGAAGAGCATCATGACTGTGAACTAAAACAGTTGCAGAACTCTAAATATTTGACCTCTAAGCAACCATCAGGAAGCAAACAACAGGATTCCACCATGACACCATGCCCACAAGTCAAGCACAAGTGATTCTAACACAGAATAAATACAACAAAATACAGAGTAAATATGATAAATATGATATGCTTTCCAGCTTGTCTAAAGAGTAGAAGTTCTTATTATTATTATTGGAACCAAAAACTGTACATATACATATATGCACATCCATATATATTGACTGTACTTAAACAACACTTCAATTTAGAGTTAGAATGTCGTATAAAACAAAACATGCACTTTCAATTTCTCTCCATTTTGAAATATCAAAAATATTCTCTTTGATTTAGAATTTAAGAAACATGCATAACTTAGTACAAAAAGCAGTCACCTTTTCTTATGGATGCTTGCAGCTGCTGGGAAGACATTTACATGGCTCTGCTGTTTACCTCACGGCCTCCCTGCCCTGTACTCTGTTCTCCACCCCAGCCATAAACGATATGACTCATCTTTACTAGTTTGAATTCAACTCTGAGACACTAGATGTGGTAACTCTTTAGGTAACCAGTGATTATTGCTATCATGGGCGGAAACATTGTTAAATTATAACTTAATTTCTTCCAAATGTTCATTTAGTGAAATCTGGCTATGAGTTATAATTATTTAGGCTATCTAGAAGTTAATAAGCCAGTATCATTAAGAAAAAGTTATAGGTACAGCCGCAGTTTTAACTTTTTAAATGTAGGATTTATATAACTATCATACCATCTAAAATATACATCCAAGAATATACTTTAGTAGTGTGATAAAACACCTACTTTAGTTATACATATACATAAAAAAATTAAATGAATGCAGTTCATTACTGTTCTCAATCATATTCACAGAAAAAAAAAAAAAAAAACCACACACACCACTATCCTTCTATTAAGAAGAGTTTTACAGTTTCATGAACAAACTTTCAAGCTGCTACAGGGTAAACGCAGTTAGAATCACAGAGCAATACGATCCCTTACTGTAGGCCTCTGAGCATACCTAGCTCCATCTGCCTTAAAACTAACTAAAATAGAAATTATGTTAAAAGAATAAAAATCGAAACCTCAAAACAAATCACGTCCAAAAAAAAAAACAAACATCCTGTGGACAGCAAAATAGCAAGTACCCATAAAGAAACATATCAAGCCATACACAGCATCAAGCTGATTCAGAGTCAACACTTAGAGTATCTTGTACCAATAGCTATTTTTAAGGAAGAACAAACCTGGGCCACTTTAACGGAATTTTGGGTAGAGCCACCAGCATGATATTCTACTTTGAACTTTTTCACAAGTTCTTCAAATCTGTTAAAAGAAAAGAAGTGGGAAGTGAAGAAAAAAAGTTAAATTCTGCATTTTTTTTTTTGCTAAAGAAGATACCAAAATTAGATGACAACATTATTTGTAAACAGGAAATTTAGATATGTTACATTGTGCAAGCTGAAATCCATTTAGACTGTGTCCAAATTACAATGCAAAGTGTACGACATCAGTTTGAGTCCTTCACCTTACAGAATAGCATTTAAATAGCAAATACATACTATCTGAAGCTTGATTGCAATTAACTATTGGGTAAATAAAATATATTATTGTAAGTAAAAACACATAAACAAAGATATTGAGACTCATCCCACCCAAGTAAGTCTAGAAACAGTAAGTCAAGTTCAGTGGAGACAAAGGTGAACCAGAACACATTTCCAAATCAACTAATCCCAAGCAATTGTGCTGTTTTAATTTGACATAAAAAAATACTGCATTGTGACAAATGACCAACTTTTATGACCAAATCGACTCGTAATGTGAGAAGAGACAGAAAAGACAGTATCTGTGGATGAGCTTTCAAATCTCTCATGTTGCTCTGTAAACATATTCCTTACATTGTTTCCGAAACACTTATTTCACCTGGCGAAACCTATTTCAAAGGTTTCAAAAGGAAACCTTTTTCTATGACAAAAATAGTAAATATGTATTTTCAGAGACAACATGAGCTTTTATTTTAGAAGACACAGTGATGAGATTAATAACATGTAGTTAAGCGGTTTGCTTGTTTATTTAGCTATCAGTAAAATACAAAAATGGACTTGTCAAAGACAGACAGACAGAAAAAGCAGTACAGGTTGACTTTTTCATTGCAGAAAGGTCAAAATAGGGTAGGTTAAAAAGTCAAAGCATTACTTTAATTAGGTACAGACTTTAAAAAAGAAAAAGAAAAACAAAAACAAAAAGAAAAATATTAAAAGCCTAGTACAAAGAAGTAACAGCGATCCTATTTTAAGGGACCAGTGATACAGTAGTTTTACAAGTGATTTACAGAAATACAGCTGAACTCTATTTGCATTGGGGGATTTTTGCTTGAGGCTTCTTAAGGGACTGGTTTGCTCTACAGGAATGTCTTTTGGAAGCTTAATTGAAGACCTTTCGCCATGGGATACTATTGCTCTGGCAGCAAAGGGGGGTCTTGACCAGCCGTCTTGTCCTCCATCATTAGTAACTACGGGCCAGACTTGTGACATCCTCAATAAGCTGTTCCCATTAGCAGGTGGGCTCCACAAGGGCCATTATTAAAACCTTTTATTAATTCCTCTCCCTTCCCCCAACACGGGCACCTTATAGATTCAACAGCAATTACCCTATTGCTTCCACTAACTGTTGTGAAGATATCAAGTAATATTATCAAAAAAGTTTTAGGGACTTGCTATGGTGCACTAAAATTTATACTCTTCTTTTAAACAAAGCAAATTGGCGTCAGAATTTGACACAGCGTCTCACAAGACAATTTGAATTTTTAAACATTACTTCTTGTGTCTCATATGGTACAGAGCAAAATTTTCAGATATGCGAACCTAAAATCTTTGAAATGTTTATTTTCTATATATCTTATCCTCTGTGAAGTCCAGCATGTGCCTCTTTTTCAAATGACTCATATATAGAAAACATATTGGAAAGAAGTCGAGGAAAATTTATGCATGTTATCTGCTACCATATATTAGGGTTTGTCAACTTATTCCTGGAAGATAGCATGGAGTCGGGGAACAAAAAAACATAAGAAAAAAAATGTTTTAAATCCCACAACATAATTTCACTATTTTAATAATAATAATAATAAACAATAATAATAATAAAAGAGCCAAGCAATTTAGCACCATCTCACCCTCAAGATTGCTAGCATAGCTTGTATCTAACCCCTGCATTTCATACTAAAATGGTGGCTTTCATAGCGCATTACTAGATCTCCACGTTAACACAAATATTTAAAGGAAATACCTATTTTCATATTCGGGATTAAACTTTACGGTTAAGACCACCCAGATTGAGTTGCATGAGAGACTTTTCCTTGTCTGTGATGCATTTCAGACTTCTGTCCACAGCATCTCAACAACTTTTTACCTAGTCACAGGCTAAGGAAAAGAAAAAAAACAAAAAAACAAAAAACAAGTGAAGCTTCAGCTCCACCGAGGCAGTCGTGGAAACCGCCGGGAGACAGTGCTCCAACACTGCATCACGCCATCAAGTTTTAAACTCACTGCAGAAATGAGTGAATTAAAAAGCAGGGCTAACAACAGAGCTTGCAGTCTTGGAAGGAAGTACTTGTGCGGCCAAGCTCAAAGGTTTGCTGTAGAAATTCACTGGCACATTTGGGGTTTAAAATGACCTCAAGGTCAACTCTAATTAATGGTATAGATTTGTCTTTGAAGTCATTTAAAGTAATTTCAGATTTTCACTGTTAGCAATGAAGCTTGCTCATTTAGACAGACTTATTTTGTTTCCAACATACTTTAATGTCTTCAACCTAGAAATTTTCTAAAACAGACTGACACATCAATTTCACATGGAGGGGGAAAAAAATGAACTCTATCTGCTCATTCTCCCACGTAAACAAGGGCTTTTGGGACAGATTTGTCAAAGAGTGACTTGCTTATTTAAAAGGTTTTGCTTTTCAATACTGCTTTAATAGTAAGAGCATTTTCATTTCTACAGTACTTTCCTTTTAAAACGTTTGAATAATGACTACTCACCCTAGCAAACTACCGACGGGCAGGCTATTAGAAAGAACCAAGCACTAAATTACTGCATATGCTTTTCACAGCTATCCACACTACTAATTATCCACCAATTCCATGTCAAGCAATTGAAACCCCAAACGATAGCAAGTAGATGAGAAGGGGAAGAAAAAAAACTGCAACAAGTCTCATCACAATTGCTTCTCAAGCAATGACATACAAAACCATCATGAAGGAATTTAGTATTTTGGCAATATTTTTTATTTAATTGACTTTTTTTTAAAAAAAAATACTGAGTATATCATCCATACAGTTATTCTGTTTTGTTTGTTTGTTTTTGTATATCAAGCATGTTTGTTGCTATTTTACTACATTTACCTTAAAGCATCTAGTGTTTTAATTGCCCGTATTATTTAGTGGCATGCTATACTTTGTATTAGCATATAGTACTAGATGACATACTTTCTCATCTGGATTTAGAGTTCTAACATATACTTCATCCTGTAGTTGAAATTCAGGAGACTGAACACATGAAAAGGCTGTTAGCTGAACTTAGGAAAAAAATACCAAACTAAAACTAGAAGCAATGCCTTGAAAGCACTGTCCTTTAAATCAAGATTTCAAGGTGACAGCTGAAATAGTGTAAAAAATAGCCTCAACAAATTATTCTACAATCATTTAGTGGAATAAGGCAAACAAACTATAGCCTGCCTTTCATTATTTCAAACTGAACATTAAAAGCCCTAACTAATTTCTTTGAATCAAGACTGTCACTCAACACCTCTAAGGGGCTGTTACATAAAATATTATGAGAGTTCATACAAATGCAAGGTAATATTGCTGACCATTTGCCACATTGTATCCAAAGGAGGATATAAATTGTGCTGTTTAATCCACAAGGGCCTAATAACTATGTTGCTTTGTAATGTAACCACAAAATTAAAATACCATTTTTTTTTGTCTTAAGAAATGGAATGTTGATGGACGTTTTTCAAAACACCAGTAGAAGGCATGAGAAAATGGCCTGTCATTACCTGACCCACACAGAGAAGATTCTCCTATTTCAGCATCTCCTCATAAATACGTGATAGGCTTTTATAAAACTCCCCATTTTAAAGGGGGAAGTTCAACTGTCAAAACTGCTCTGAGGCCTGTGTATGCCAAGCAGAGCTTCTGTGTGTGCTCCAGGAGGGAGCGAGCTGTTATCACACTTGGGAGAATTCAAGAAAATTAGAACCTTATGAGCTAGGCTGAATAATATGGGTACAGGTCCTGCAGTTGATGGCCTTACCAAGTATTTCTTAAGGCCCTGCTATACCCAGGAACTGTGACTGTTCTGTTGACCTAACAGCATACCATTACCTTAAATAACAGAATAATAAATCCAACCATCAGCACTATACAGAAGGGCCACTATTTTTGGTACCATGAATTTGTTGCCTGTATCATGGCATATTTCAACAGAAGCAAGGCTGCATTTACAGCAGCATACATTTTCAGGTGGGACACTGCTCATCAGCCTCAGCATTGACCCAAGCTATGCTCGTGTTCTGCTCAGTTGCACTGGAGGCAAGTGCACTCTTCATTGCCATTTTTTCCCTCCTCTTTCTATTTAGTTGCAGGATTGACTGCTAATGAAACTTGTTAGGAAAAGACACATTTTCTCAATATCCTCACATCTGAGAGAATTAATGCTTCATAAAAAAAAGTATGGAAATATGTTTTCTTAGAAGGTAAAAAAATGACCTATTTTATAAAATAATTCAAATAAGAGTAAATTTTCACCAATTCCTAACAGCATGAGGAGCAGAGACCTATCTTAAAAGGCACTTTGAAGGGGATGCCTGCATCTTCCACGCTCCTCTCGGAGACGTCGCGCTGCTGCCTCAGCCCCAAGGCAGCCGCTCGAGTCTCCCAGGACCTCCTCTCTTCACGGTCCTTTCTGCCCTGGTGGCGGCTTCACAGCCCCTCTCGCCACTCCAGCCGCGCACAGCCGGAGCTGACGGGGAATATCCCGAGGCTCCTCTGCAGCCTGGGCACTGCCGCTCCTCTCCTGCAGCAGGGCCTTTCTCCGGGAACCTGCTTTACACCCAAAATCCGAGGCTGACAATTAAAAACCAACCAAACTGACAATTAAAATAAGCACATAAACTGTTCCTTACTACTACACCCAGACAACATAAGGAAAATGGGGAACAGTCAGATAAATTAATTCTGTTAAGATTTTGGATGCAAATTATATTTGACTACACACACACACACACTAGCCAACTAAACTGCCCTATTGCCCTCTGCACACACAGA